GTCGCTCCAAATAGCCTTTCCCAGTCACTACGAGCGCAAGATTATCAGCATAGCTGAGGAGCTGCGTTCCACTATGAAAGGGAAGGCTCACAAGTTCCTGCATAAGGACGTTAAACAGGGTAGGACTGAACACATCTCCTTTTGGCGTGCCGTTTTCCAGGGTTTTAAAGCAAGAGTAGTGTCCCTGAAAGCTGACACAGGCCTGCCTGTCCCTGAGGTAGGACTCTATCCTGGCCAGGAGGCGTCCTTTGATCCCCTTCCGAGCTAGTATTGCTAGAATTGCTGTGGGGCTGGCTAGCTCAAATGCCTTCTCGAGGTCGAGGTAGACGACGATACTAGGTTTCCTGTTACTAATCTGGCTTAGTAGGATGGTTATGCACTCTGCTGTACCCACTCCTTTGGTGAAGCCAAATATGTGATGATGAGGCGGTCCAAGCTTCCATAGGAGGCGGTTTAGCACCATCCTCTCAGCAGTCTTGGCTAAACAGCTGGTCAGCGATATGGGTCTCATACTGCCTGGGTCCTTGGGCTTTGAAATTGGTACAATGGTAGCCTTCTGCCAAGCTGCTGGGAGTGTCCCGGCCCTCCATGACTTGTTTATGACGTCTAGTATGGCCTCCCATCCACTCTTACCAGCCCGTGCAATCATGGAGTATGTGACTCCATCTATGCCCGGAGCAGTGTCACCTGTGTTCTTAATGGCACGTCGGAGTTCCAAGTCCGTGAGGTCTTCAGACTCACATGCAGCTTGTATCGTTAACTGGCGCTTGGCAGAAGATCTGTCTGTATATTCCGGATGTCCTGTGGGAGCTGAGTGGAGGCTCCCCTGGAAGTGAAGAGCTCCACCAGTTTCTCAGCTTCATGGGATGAGATAGGGTGTGCTGGTGGTCTCGACTTCCTTTTGCTAGTTGCGATGTTAAGCTTGCCCCATATCTCAGATAAGATTGTGTGATGCCCAAATTTTGAGCACCACTCCAGCCATTTCTCAGTTTTTACTCTGACATGATGCACAATGGCTCTCAGAGTATTACTGTTCTCTGCTGTAGAGTTACGCCTGTATAGCTTCCTAAAAGAGTTGATGCGGTGGTTCTGCTCCCGCACCTCATCGTTATAGAACCACCAGTCTCTTTTGTGAGTGCGTCCTGCGGACTTCTTTGGAATTGCGCACTCTGCTGCCTGGATGAGAACAGTGATTAGTTCCTATTCAGCTGTATCAGAGTCTTCGGATAGAGTATATATGGACCACCAGTCATGAAGATAATACTGGAACACCTTCCAGTTGCCCCTCTTTAAATCCCATATAGGAGGCACCACAACTGTGGGGGGCCTGTTGATGTTGAAGGTGGTGATCACTGAAAAGTGGTCACTGACAAGGTTAGGATGAGTTTACATGACTCACGAAATCGTAATGATACGATTGCAAGCAAACCATACCACGGGTGGGGTTTGAACCCTTAGTATGGTTAGGATGAGTTCTCCATGTGGTTCCCGCTGCGAGTTGTCTTGTCCCGAAGGTACGGTCGAGGCAGTCACCCAACAGGTGTGTGGGGTCTCCATTGTTTAGCAATTTTGCCTTTGGAATATCGTTGCAGAACTGGTTGCTGAGTGAGAGTGCAGCATTGGGTGATGTGCGTTGAAGTCTCCACCCACAATAATACACTCAGTGCGTGCTAGCGCGAGGAGCCGTGCAATGTCGAGAGTGTATCTTGGGTTCTTTTAGATGTTATAGATGGTAATGGGCGCCCCAGGTACGTGTACAAGGTTGGCCTGTGCCTCGACATCCTCCCCACAGTCCACAGGGTTGGCTATAACCTCGTGAGGTATTGCATCTGATACGAATGCAGCTGTGCTTCTTCAGTGAACGCCTGCATCCATGTACCGAAAACACCCAGCAAAACCTGGGAGTCTTGGGCATATAGCTGGGACAGTCAGAGTTTCTTGTAGCAAGACGATGTCAACCCGATCCCGAATTACTGCCTCCAGCAAGAGGTGCTGTTTGCCCCTCGGGTCCTGAATGTTCCACTGTAGGACCTTGAGAGCGTGATTTGGTGCAGGAGTTATTCCATCGCTGTTATTTCCTGAGCTGGGGACTGAGCCCTGCCCGCTCTGAGAGCCTGCAAATTCATGGTATCCACCGTCTCCTCGGTCAGTAAGCACACCCTCAGGAGCGTGCTGACCATCTGCCGGAACACGCTCTGCTGTTCCGTGGAATTTATTGTGTTGCGAATAATATCCGTGAACGCCTTGATGAGTGCTACGAGATCCTCCCTGGTGAGGGCCTGCGTTGACATTGGGTTCGAAGCAGTGGATATTACCTGGGCTGTTGTGATCTGTGGGAGCTGCTGCGGGTTGGATTTCTTTACTGTGAGCACCGTGGTCTGTTGCTGTATGCTAGGTTGGGTAGCCGGCATCTGCTGGTGAGGTGCAGACATAGCCAGGGGAGCCTGCATAGCAGCTTTGCCGGGCAAGGAGTGTCTGCGTTTTCGTGTTATGGCCGGTGGGGGCTCGTGTGGTGCCGTCTCCTGATCACGTTGACCAGATGTTCCCTGTTGACGCCCCTTGTTCCTTTTGTTTTTGTTTCTTCGTTGAAGCAGCGGGGCAGGAGGCTCCTGTCCATGACGCCTGGTTCAAGTTTCGAGGGTTGGGAATTCCTGGGCAGTGAGTTGGGTGACCTGATGAGAGGTCTGCGGTATGGCAGGGTTCTCTGCACCCATCGTCTGCTGAGAGTGATGACCTGCTATAGCCTGCTGCCGAGTTGTTGACGTCTTCCAGGCTCCTTGAATTCTGGCGAGCCTCTCGGGGCATCGAGGATTCCAGGCATGGTGTTTCTGCCTGCAGTTCGGGCATTGTGGAGTGGGTGGCGATGCATTTTTCAACTTGGTGATGCAGTCCTCGGTAGGGTGGCGCTGGCTGCAGACACCGCAACAGCGAACTGGTTTTGCCGTGAAGGTGCTGACGTTGTACCTGCCCCAAGAACCGAGGTCCAGCTGGGATGGCAGCGGTCCTACATGCTGTATGAGGACCTACCGGGTTGGTGCGTTGCCTGCCGTCTTTGCCTTGGGACGCTGAGCTGACACCACATTGGGTTGAGCTGCTGTTGCCTCGATGAGAATCATCAGCGGGTATCGCATCACTATACCCTTGGTGATCTTCTGCCGAGAATCCAGTTCCTCCAGGGTGAAGGAGCGGTCTGTCTCCATGACTTTCTTCAAAGTGGTGCACATTTCCTTGTTGAGAGGAGTCAGTATTGGTTCTCCCCTCAGGTTGAACCATATCTTGAACCTCAGGTTGTGTCGTGATTCCAGGCTTGTAACCACACCATAGTGGGTTCTGTGCTCCCCGTAAGATTTCACCTTGAATTTGCCAGGTCGGTTGAGCTGGTTTGCCTGCTCCTTGGACGGACGGCACTTCTTGTTGTTGTCCACATTGATCCATCCTTCTTGGTTCTCGGGGGATGGGGTGTTTATTCCCTCCCCTGTTTCCATATTCGCTGGCTCCATGGTTGGAACTGTCAGATCTGCTACAATGTGAGCAGGATCTTCCTCTTCCTCTGATGACACGAAGTGGTCTCGCAACTTCTTCGCTAGAATTGCGCCCCACATTTCCAAATTCGAGTCCTCCGTCGTGTTCGTGGAGCATCGTGACCTCTTCTTTTCGGCAGAAGCCATGTGCCTATTTAGTGATGTCTGTGATGTCTGTTCTGGACCACCGTGTCTGCCTTATTTTTTCTGTTCAAATTGCACTGGCGAAGTTAGAGACTAACTTCGCCAGTGCAATTTGAACAGAAAAAATAAGAATCTAGAAATATCAAAAAAGGCACAATACCGTGGCTGGAACGATACACAAATAACACGCACAAAGAAGAAGACGACGTTTCGGTCCGACTTGAACCATTTACAAAGTCCCACTAACGAACAGGAGAGAAGGAGGGAGTATATGTAGGCAGGAAGTGGTAGTAGTGGAAGTAGAAGGTAGTAGTGGAGAAGGTAGTACGTGGAGGAGGAGCCAATCAAATACTCTCTCTTTCTCTCTCTTTCTCTCTCTCGTAACTTTCCCGCCTCCCTTTCACCCAATATTACTCATTCACGTTTTACCTTCCCGTATTTCTCATCCTTCGAGGTCCACTCACCAACCTACACATAAAAAACATATCTCTCATTATTTCCATTTAATTACTTCTCCTCTCCCTTCTCTCCTCTCCACTGCTCTTCCACCAGACCCTCCGGATATCACAGCAGTGGTGATGAGAGTCGATGGTTGCACAAGCTCTACGCTCAGGGTAGAGCTTTATAAAGCCATGAACTGATTAATGCCCATAACCTGAGCCAAATGTTGTCCCAGTGAAAGAAAGCTCCACCTGGGTATTGGGTACATACCCATGCCACTGTGAAATGGGTCTAGACAGTAGTTACATACTTATCTTGAAGGTTCCTGTTGTCTCTTGTGTGTTCCTGTGTACCCATATACTCTTCCTATACGACAGCTGGAGCCAGTCTTATTTATCTTTCTCTCTGACAGAGTTACTACAGCCGTCCGTCATTCTCTCTGTCTCTCTGACTCGTAGCTCAATTGCTAGCCAACTTAGTTCACATAGTGAGGTCCGTGGTTCGATCCCCGGTACGGGTGGAAATATTAGGACGTGTTTCCTTATTAAGACACTTGCTGTCCCTATTCACCTATCACTAAAATGGGTACCTGGGTGTTAGTCGACTGGTGTGGGTCGCATCCTGGGACAAAACTGACCTAATTTGCCGTAATCCTCAGCATAACAAGGGGCTTTCTATATAGTAGTATGTCATTGATGTCAGCTAGGACTGTATACCTTGTACATGAAGAAATAAAGATTTATTATTATTATTATTATTATTATTATTATTTATTATTATTATTATTATTATTATTTATATTATTATTATTATTATTATGTTTATTATTAATATATTATTATTATTATTTTATTATTATTATTATTATTATTATTATTATTATTATTATTACAGGGCTTGTTGCAGTCACCTTTCAACTTCCGTCTCACCTACAAGACGTTGAGACGAAGCGACGCTATCCTTCGCTACGGCAACGCCACTTCTCCCAAGAATCGAGGTGACCTCGTAGACGGTAAGCTGCGTCTGTGCCTCCTGTCTGTGATTCTTGTGTCTAGTACGTGTCTGTGTCTACTTCTGTCTGTGACTCTTGTGCCTCTTCTTCTGTCTACCACGTTATTCTTAATCTCCTTTACGTGTATGTCTGCTTCTACTAAGTATTTCTGTTAATTTACATACCTCTTTCTTCATCTACTTCCGCCTTCTACTACTTCCGACATTTTTTTCACTTATTCTATCTTGTCTTCCAGCGGCTTTTAGTTATTTTTCCATGTCTTCTACCTACATATGTGTGAGAGAGAGAGAGAGAGAGAGAGAGAGAGGGCTAATAGAGGAAGAAGTTAAGGGAAGGGAGTGTAGAGAGAAGAAAAATCAGGGTGAAGTATTAAGTAACCATAAGGAAGGAGGAGGAAGAGGAGAAGGAGGAAGTACAGGAAGATGGGAAGGGAAACAAAAAAAAAAGATGAAAAAAAGAAAGAGGTAGGGACAGGAGAAAGAGGAGGATAAGAAGAAAGAAAATACAGAATAAGAAGTGAGAAGTAAGATAGAGAATGAGAGTTATGCTCAACTCTGGTAGGGACAATTTACTCTAAAAGACATATAAGTACTTCCTGTTCAAGTTGCAAGGGCCAGAGTGCAACATCCGGCCTGCTAGAAATGTTGGCTGCCTGTAAAACCCTCACTGGAAGACCTCAACTGGCTGCTCAGACTGGCAAACCTAACGTGTACGTCTGAATTTACCTAAATCGTATGCCAGAATTGTTAGGCTGAAGCGAAAGCTTGAACTGTATAAGCTTGCATTATGAGCCTGAGTTTCCAGTCTGTATTGTAAGCCTGTATTGAATTTTGAATCAAAAGTCTGAGGTCCTATAAAACTGAACAGTAAACAACACTTGTACTCACATTGTTGACTCATTTATTCCCTACTTTTTTAAATTTGTGTGATATATATATATATATATATATATATATATATATATATATATATAATATATATATATATATATATATATATATATATATATATATATATATATATATAATATATATATATATATATATTATATATATATAATTATATGCTTTAGGTGAACAGCAGTGTAAGGAGATCTATGATATACATATTGTACTAGGCGAATAGGGTCACCAGGGTGAAAGGAGTCTTACCCAAGTCCCCACAATTGGTTCTCACTACGTCTTCCTCACATCCTCCTGCTCTCAGCACGGCTCGCTCTGCGACAGGATTTCCTCAACTGCGACGAGTACACGTGCTCCGTGCAGAGTCCTAACTTCCGGTTGTCCCGGGACGTCACCTGTCATACCTGATCAAACATACTCGCTACGTGCCCTACGCCAACCTCTGATCACCATCCATCAGGACACCACTCAATCAACGTCAAGGCAACTCTGCCTGCCAAGCCCGGCATTTAACTCTCCTGGCTTACAGTGAGTGAAATTTTATTCTAGTTCGCTGTGTTTATCATTCCCTTTGGAGTTTCCCGTTTCATCTGTGGATCATTGCTATATTAGATACATTCCTGGTGTTGCTACAATATTTTATGCATCATTGTATTTCGGTTTCAGAAAGTTTATCCTAAAACTTTTCGAGCTTAAACTTGGAAGTTAAGCTTAGGTAAGTTCCTCTTTTCCAAGCTTAAGATCTTTGCAATTAAAGTTATGAATATTTCTCTGTACAAAGCTTGAGAAAGTTCTGAGTTTATAATTTCTTTTGGGTACCAAAACTCCTCGATGGAAACAGCCAGTGGTTGAAAGAAAGATTATATATATATATATATAATATATATATATGATTATGCTGTTAGGTGAACAGCAGGTGTAAGGAGATCTAGTGACTAGGTACATATTGCTACTAGGCGAATAGGGTCACCAGGTGAAAAGGAGTCTTACCCATAAGTCTCACCACAATTTGCCTTGCTTCTCCTCACGATCTTCCTCACCATTCCTCCTCCTGCAGGCTCGCTCTGCGACAGGATATTCCTCAACTGCGACGAGTACACGTGCTCCGTGCAGAGTCCTAACTTCCCCGGTTGTACCCACGGCACGTCACCTGTCACTTCCTGATCAAACAGACTCGCTACGTGCCCTACGCCAAGCCTCTGATCACCATCCATCAGGACAACCCACTCAGATTCAACGTCAAGGCCAACTCTGCCCTGCCAAGCCAGGGGCTTAACTCTCCTGGCTTACAGGTGAGTGAAAATGTTATCTAAGTTACGCTGTGTTTATCATTCCCATGTTGAAGTTATCTGTTTCACACTGTAGTTATCATTGCTATATTAGATACATTAGCCTGGTGTTGCTACAATATTTTATGCATCAGTTGTATTCTCGAGTTTCAGAAAGTTTATCTCTAAAACTTTTCAAGCTTTATAAACTTTGGCAAGTTAAGCTTAAGGAAGTTCCTCATGCACAAGCTTAAGAAATCTTTGCAATTAAAGTTTATGAATATTTCTCTGTACAAAGCTTGAGAAAGTTCCTGAAGTTTAATAATTTCTTTGTATAAGTTTGAGAAAGTTTTACCATAAAATTTTCTCAAATCTGAGAAAAAAAAATTGTTTTACAAGCTTTTTCAGGCTTGACTTTCTAGATAAGCTTTTAAGTAAAACTATTTCTGGCACAGACGTTTTATGGTGTGTGTGTGTGTGTGTGTGTGTGTGTGTGTGTGTGTGTGTGTGTGGTGTGTGTGTGTGTGTTGTGTGTGTGTGTTGTGTGTGGTGTGTGTGTGTGTGTGTGTGTGGGTGTGTGTATGTGTGTGTGTGTGTGTGTCAAAAATTTCAGTAACACTGGATCAGGTAATTATTTTTTCATGTACAATAAGCGTACTTCGGGTGAGAAAGCGATTAAATGAATGATGGTTAATGTGTTTTCCTCTTCTGAATCACGGGAGACGGGAGGGGTGATTGTTTTATTCTGTTGTTGTGTTTGATCCATGCGGTTTTAGCCCTTGTTTAAAAATAATAATTAATAATTCACCATTATTATTATTATTACTTTCATGAGTGAAGCGCAAAACCCGTATGGGTCGTACAGTTTCCTTGGGGAAGGGGGAGGGGACGCAATCAGGTTGGCTCCACGGAAGAAATCAAGAGCCTTTCTCACCCAGATTGTGGTTTGAGTCAATTCTGTGTCTAGCGCCTCACTTTTATTTGACTAACACACACCGTCGCTCACGACGTTTATTATCTCCCCCTGACAGATCTGGGGGTCGTGCGACCTGGTGCACGACCATCTACTGGTGTATGATGGGAACTCCACGGAATCTCCGCTTTTCCTGAAGGTGTGTGGCTCGGGGCCGCTGCCCCCCATCACCTCAACGGGGCCGGAGATGCTGGTGGTGTTCAGCACCTCGCGCTTTGACGAGCCTACTCAGGAGACTCTCATGCCCAGGACCTTCGGCTTTGAACTGGACGTCAAGGTCACCTACCTCAACATGGACTCGAGGCAGTTCGCTCGGAACCGACAGTGCGTTTTCCACATCTTCGGCGCTAACAACGCCAGCGGAGAGGTGGTGTCGGTGGTGAACACGCAGCCACAGAACTCCTCCTGCGTGTACCTCTTCCACGGGGAGCCACATGAAGTGGTCTGGGTGCACTTTCGCAAGTACGAGATCGCCCCGAAAATGGGTCACTACACTTACAATATGACCGAGTGCATCAACCCACTCAGGATTTACGATGGGAACTTCTTTGATACGAACACCCCGTACGGATCTCCTAGACGTGCCCGCCTTATCCAGGAGCACTGTACGGCACGCCCGCCGCCCATGTGTGCTCGTGAATACCTGCCGCCCCGCCGTGGCCTCTCCGCCCCGGTCAAAGCCTGCACTAGGAATGAAAGTTACGTCGCCGATGGACCCAAACTGACAGTAGTGCAGCACTACAACGAGTCCACCGCTGCACTCGCCATGGACTTCATCTTGCGTTACGAGTTCGTCAACACCAGGCCTGGGTACCGCCCGACTAACGGCAGCGAATGTGATTTTGAAGCCATCAGCGACGGGTACTCGCTCCGCACGGGGCGGGTGTTCTCGCCCAGGACTTCCGTGCTATATGGGAGGTGGGGACGTCGCAAGCTATCTTGCCAATACCGCTTGACGGCCCACAGTGACGAGGTAGTGCGTGTGACAGTCACTAAGTTCCACAGCGTGTCTCGCTCCTGCCTCACAACCACCAATAATTTCACCGGAAGTTACGACTGTGACAGCCGAGCTGGTCAGACCGCGTCCCTCGTCATCTCAGAGTATCCCTGGCAGGAGATTGAGGTGCCAAGACTCTGTACCTGTGACTATTCAGCCATTCCCATTGAGTACGAATCAAAATCGCAAGAGCTGAGACTTAAATTTGAAGTTAACAACATGGACGAGACTCATGACTACCTAGACTTTATGTTTGAAGCTCAGTATGAGTTCGTCAAAAAGACGTCTTGCAGGAAAGAGCAGAGGCTTCAAGGCACCAACGGCGAGATAGTTTTCCGCAAGGCTAACCTTACAGAACACAAGCCGTGTGACAACTACCCGTGGCTTCTTCAGACCTCAGACGCCGACAAATCGATCTATTTCAGAATACGAGGTTACGACCACATCGACAAGAACTGCACCACTACCACTAGGCTCCTGGTCTTCAAAGTAGGTCGTCTGAGACCAGTTGCAGTACTCTGCCCGGACTCCTCCACTAAAAATGTCGTAGAGTTGTACAGCTTTGCCTGGCAAGGTTCAAGTTCTCTAGTGGAACAGTCGACGGATAAGCTGGTGCTGGAGGTGTCTGGGCGTGATAGTGTTCGAGACCCAGGTCCACACAAACTCTCCTGGCTGCAGGTGTCCCCAGTGCGTCAGTACGACTGGTCATCGGAGGGCATCGTGCGGGGATGCCAGGAGGAATGCCCCGAACTGCGCGTGTGCATCAGCGAGATCCTCTGGTGTGACGGGGTGCATCACTGTCCCTCAGGCTACGATGAACTCATCGCTCACTGCTTCTTCCTTTCCGTGCCCTGGGCTTATATCGGGGTAGGGTCTGCCCTCAGCGTCATCCTACTGGTAGGGGTGACTGTGTACGGTGCGGCCAGACTTCGAGCTGCAGACAAGAAGACACACCAGCACCCGCCGATACCCACTCTGCCCACTGCTTCTGAGTCCCTCTTCTCTTCAGACAAAGACGCGGCGGAGAGGGATGGCGGAGTGACTTCTGCCTACAGCCTGGACTATAGCGAAGTGGACTATGTGACAACCTTATGAGGACCACACCAGGTAGTCACTAGCAGTACCACCTTAGCCACATTCACCACACCATCAACCACCCTGACCACATTCACCACACCATCAACCAGCACCATCCACCCACAAAATGCCCAAAATGTGTCTACCTCCCAAGTTTCGGCCAGTGAAACTCCTCGATCACAATCCCGACCACGTCTACGACCCCGAACTCTCAATACCCGACCTGTCTACAACGACCACGACTTACACTCGGCTGCATCCTCAGCCAGCGACACTTTACAACGCCCCTTCAACAGATCATATCTCTACACCCTCGCCGCCCTCAACACCCACCCACTGGCAGCCCTCAACACCCCCACAAGTCACCCTCGTCGTGCTCACTAGTTCTGTTAAGATGTTGATGCGCTCTCCCACTTTACTTTGTGCCAGCGTTTATCTTCCTCAGCTGACCAGAAAAACGCTGAGAAGGGAAAAACTGGATAATATTTACATTCCTTCAAAATTTCTTAAAGGCAACTGACACGTTTCTCTCTTATTACATAAGACATAAGAACATAAGAATGGAGGAACACTGCAGAAGGCCTACTGGCCCATACAATGCAGGTCCTTATCAAAACCATCACTACTCGGCATATTGTGATGTCTTTGATCATTTGAGTACGATATACAGGCGCAGATATATGGCATATGTTCTTATGGCATAAATGTATGACACATGTGAAGACAAGAATTAACATATGCGTACGATATATGCGAGTGACATAAATTGAGTACGGCATATAGACCAAACTTACCACAAGTGTGTTCCCCTCTTCATGTATGAATCTCACTCTCACGTACAACTCATGAATCATGTACATATGTATATACACACTTTACTGCATTTATATACACCTGGCTCACAGCTTCCTCAAACCTTCATGTATATACCTTGCCTCACATACACACACCAGGCACGCGGCTTCCTCGGCTATATAAATCATTTGTGACCAGTTTTAGTGACAATTCCTGAATTCCTAGTGCTATGTGCTGCTGCTGCTTCTAGTTGCCACTTTCTCATCTTAGCTATTGTCTGTGTTCATCAGATTACAAAGTGAAATGTTTCTGCGTCATAATGTATTGGTTTCTTGGATTGCTATTAGCTCTAGTGTGAAAAAAAAAAATCTGTTACTTTGTCTGTTAGTGGTAGACTGAGTCATTACTGAGTAAAACACAAGGAAAGCAAATTTAACGCGATAATATGATTATATATATATATATATATATATATATATATATATATATATATATATATATATATATATATATATATATATATATATATATATATATATATATAATATATAATAAACACATGGCCGTCTCCCACCAATGCAGGGTGGCCAGAAAAAGAAAAACCTTTCATAATCATTCGCTCCATCACTGTCTTGCCAAAGGCGTATTTACACTACAGTTATAAAACTGCAACATTAACACCCCTCCTTCAGAGTGCAGACACTGTACTTCTTGTCTCCAGGACTCAAGTCCGGCCTGCCGGTTTCCCTGAATCCCTTCATACATATTACCTTGCTCACACTCCAACAGCACGTCAAGTCCTAAAAACCATTTGTCTCCATTCGCTCCTAACACGCTCACGCATGCTTGCTGGAAGTCAAAGCCCCTCGCACACAAAACCTCCCTTACCCCCTCCCTCCAACTTTTCCTAGGCCGACCCCTACCCCACCTTCCCTCCACTACAAATTTATACACTCTCGAAGTCATCTTATTTTGTTCTACCCTCTCTGCATGACCGAACAATGCCTACATGCCGAATACGTAAAACTGGGGAATTAGCAAGAACTCATTTAAAAGTAGGTCATTTCTAAAAAATTTCTCTTATACGTTTAAAGATATATTTTTTTCATCAATGTTAATGTAAAAATTATTAATTTTGTACCAAAAGAACTTTTAAAAACTTACCTAACCTTATTATAACAAGCGCAATTTAATTTAACTTAATTCAGCTAAATATATTTTAGATAAGCTTACAATAATGTAATAATAAATAAAGACAATGAAATATATTTTTTTCGTAAGGTTCAAAATGATTTTTGAGAAGTTATTACACACACAAATTTTCGCTTGCTCCATTCGGCAAGAAAACGTTGCTATTAAAGCCAAAAATCTCAAGTTTTACCTATTCGGCACGACATGTATATTACTCCTCCCCCGGCTATGATTCCAAATCTCGTATAATCTCAAAGAAAAACTGATTTCTTGAAGAAATTAGCCTTGATTCCAACCCTTCTAAATCTTACGTGATATTGTGAATTCTGATTAATTTGAATAGGTACACTTCAGTGTAAAGAAAAGGCACCCGTTTTGGAACAATCACTCGGACAACGTTTCGCCCTGTGCAGAGGTTAATAAAGCCATGACTTGATAAAGCTCTATGTAGAGAGAGAGAGAGAAAGCCATATTGAGTGGCTGACTAACCAAGAAGCTGGACTAACATACCATTCCCAGGCGCCAAGTGACCTCTCTACGAGTCTAAAATGCTTTCCTTCCCGATTAAAACCAAAATAACAGAGCGAAACGGCGACCCAATAAAAGGCCTTTCCTATACCCTGTGTCTCATCATCACTCGTATCAGCAGAACACGTTTTGGATCAATATATTAGACGTTTCACGCAGGGAATGACAGGTTCAAATGCACAAGCATTTTTTTTTTCGAAACATCTAAACAATGTTTACTAAGAGGTAATAAAAACGTGTAAACAAAAAAATTATTGGCCGTGTATTCTGAAGATTTTAGCTGCAAGTATCTTGTTGCGAGAGTAGAGTTTCTGTCTCCTTATTTGCGGACGGAGGACCGAGCCTCCACCTCTCCTTGCGCTAAATTACTCACATGGGTTTTGCGCCTCACGGTATAATAATAATTATTATGGTAATAATTTTTAGGTAGATAGTGTGTTACTTCGGTCCGAATCACATGTATATAATGCACATTTCGCTCCAGATTTATACCAATGTTTTTCAATGTACAGAAATATGTAACTGTACTGTAGTGTGTATGACGTGAGGTGTACTGTAGTGTGTATGACGTGAGGTGTACTGTAGTGTGTATGACGTGAGGTGTACTGTAGTGTGTATGACGTGAGGTGAAATGTAGTGTGTATGACGTGGGGTGTACTGTAGTGTGTATGGACGTGAGATGTACTGTAGTGTTTTATGACGTGAGGTGTACTGTATGTGTATGACGTGAGGTGTACTGTTTTTGTGTATGACGTGAGGTGTACTGTAGTGTGTATGACGTGAGGTTTTACTGTAGTGTGTATGACGTGAGGTGTACTGTAGTGTGTATGACGTGAGGTGTACTGTAGTGTGTATGACGTGAGGTGTACTGTAGTGTGTATGACGTGAGGTGTACTGTAGTGTGTATGACGTGAGGTGTACTGTAGTGTGTATGACGTGAGATGTACTGTAGTGTGTATGACGTGAGGTGTACTGTAGTGTGTATGACGTGAGGTGTACTGTAGTGTGTATGACGTGAGGTGTTACTGTAGTGTGTTGAGTGAGGTGTACTGTATGTGTATGACGTGGGTGTACTGTAGTGTGTATGACGTGAGGTGTACTGTGGTGTATATGACGTGAGGTGTACTGTGGTGTATATGACGTGAGGTGTACTGTAGTGTGTAGGGACGTGGGGGTGTACTGTAGTGTGTATGACGTGAGGTGTACTGTAGTGTGTAGGGACGTGAGGTGTACTGTGTGTGTATACGTGAGGTGTACTGTAGTGTTTTATGACGTGAGGTGTACTGTAGTGTGTATGAACGTGAGGTGTACTGTGGTGTTTTATGCGTGAGGTGTACTGTAGTGTGTATGACGTGAGGTGTACTGTAGTGTGTATGACGTGAGTTGTACTGTAGTGTGTATGACGTGAGGTGTACTGTGATGTATATGACGTGGGGTTGTACTGTAGTGTGTAGACGTGAGGTGTACTGTAGTGTGTATGAGTGAGGTGTACTGTAGTGTGTATGACGTGAGGTGTACTGTAGTGTGTATGATGTGCGGTGTACTGTTAGTGTGTACGACGGAGGTGTACTGTAGTGTGTAGGGACGGGGAGGTGTACTGTGTGTGTATGTCGTGAGGTGTACTGTGATGTATAGGGACGTGAGGTGTACTGTAGTGTGTATGACGTGAGGTGTTACTGTGTGTGTATGACGTGAGGTTTTACTGTGTGTGTATGACTGAGGTGTACTGTGGTGTATATGACGTGAGGTGTACTGTAGTGTATTAGACGTGCGGTGTACTGTGTTGACGTGAGGTGTACTGTAGTGTGATGACGTGGGGGTTTCTGTAGTGTGTATGCGTGAGGTGTACTGTAGTATGATGTGAGGTGTACTGTAGTGTGTATGACATGAGGCTTACTGTAGTGTATATGACGTGAGGTGTACTGTAGTGTGTATGACGTGAGGTGTACTGTAGTGTGTATGACGTGAGGTGTACTGTAGTGTGTATGACGTGTGGTGTTCTGTAGTGTGTATGACGTGAGGGTTTTACTGTAGTTGTATGACGTGAGGTGTACTGTAGTGTGTATGACGTGAGGCTTACTGTAGTGTATATGACGTGAGGTGTACTGTAATGTGTATGACGTAAGGTGTACTGTAGTGTGTATGACGTGAGGTGTACTGTAGTGTGTATGAGTGGGGGTTACTGTAGTGTGTATGACGTGAGGTGTACTGTAGTGTGTATGACGTGAGGTGTACTGTAGTGTGTATGACGTGAGATGTACTGTAGTGTGTATGACGTTGAGTGTACTGTAGTGTGTATGAGGGTGAGGTGTACTGTAGTGTGTATGACGTAAGGTGTACTGTATTTGTGTATGGACGTGAGGTGTACTGTAGTGTGTATGACGTGAGGTGTACTGTAGTGTGTATGACGTGAGGTGTACTGTAGTGTGTATGACGTAAGGTGTACTGTAGTGTGTATGACGTGAGGTTTGTAGATGAATGGTTCAGAGAACCGACATGTTGATAAATTAGACACATGTGCAACTCTTGGGTATCTTTATTGAGGAAACGTTTCGCCACACAGTGGCTTCATCAGTCCATACAAAGGAGAATCTTGAAGAACAGGAGGAGAATGAGGTAATCAGTCCCTCAACCTTGAGTCGATGTGGTCAGTCCATCAATCTTGAATAGAATACGGCATATGTGCGGAGAAGGAGCTTATAAACCGTAGACAGGAGAGGTGCAGCAGTCGTAGGTGGTGTCACATTTGTTCATTGTGGAAGTAGGTCGGACTGATGAAGCCACTGCGTGGCGAAACGTTTCCTCAATAAAGATACCCAAGAGTTGCACATGTGTGTAATTTATCAACATGTCGGTTTCTGAACCATTCATCTACAACCCTGTCAGACACTGCAACTTCTTGGGATCTTAATACTTGGGAATTCTTCGCATGCCTAATTCTTGGGCACGACCTACTTCAACATTGAACAAATGTTACACGACCTATGACTTCTGCACCTCTCCTGCCAACGGTTTATAAGCTCCTTCTCAGCACGTATGCCGTATTCTATTCAAGATTGATGGACTGACCACATCGACTCAAGGTTGAGGGACTGATTACCTCATTCTCCTCCTGTTCTTCAAGATTCTCCTTTGTATGGACTGATGAAGCCACTGTGTGGCGAAACGTTTCCTCAATAAAGATACCCAAGAGTTGCACATGTGTCTAATTTATCAATGACGTGAGGTGTACTGTAGTGTGTATGACGTGCGGTGTACTGTAGTGTGTATGACGTGAGGTGTACTGTGGTGTATATGACGTGAGGTGTACTGTAGTGTGTATGACGTGAGGTGTACTGTGGTGTATATGACGTGAGGTGTACTGTAGTGTGTATGACGTGAGGTGTACTGTAGTGTGTATGACGTGAGGTGTACTGTAGTGTGTATGACGTGAGGTGTACTGTAGTGTGTATGACATGAGGTGTACTGTAGTGTGTATGACGTGAGGTGTACTGTAGTATGTATGACGTGAGGCTTACTGAAGTGTATATGACGTGAAGTGTACTTTAGTGTATATGACGTAAGATGTACTGTAGTGTATATGACGTGAAGTGTACTGTAGCGTATATGACATGAGATGTACTGTAGTGTATATGACGTGAGATGTACTGTAGTGTATATGACGTGAGATGTACTGTAGTGTGTATGACGTGAGATGTACTATAGTGTATATGACG